AGCACAACACCAGCACTCTGCTCCGAAAATCCTCAGCCAGGATCCTCGCGGCGGACTCGGTCAGAATCCACGTCTTCCCCGTGCCCGCGACCCCCGCGATCACCCTCCGCTTGTCCCGCGACGCGTCTGCCGTCCGCACCCAGTCCATGGCCGACCTGAGGTGGGGAGGGACGAAGATGGGGATCGCGGGGTCGGAACCCTCTTCGGCCGGGTGTCGAAGGAGCTTCGCGGTCTCCTCGATCAGCCAGCCCAAGTTGCGGTTGTTTATGCTTTCTTGGAAACACCAGGCTCCGATGAACCTGAAAAATGGAGAGATTGGATATTCGACTCGATCTCGTGAGCATTTCATGTTCGAAAAAAAAGAAGCAGGAACAACGAAGGAATGCAGAGAAACATACATGGACAAGAGATTGAGGTAGACATCTCGAGAAAGAGGTTTTTGTAAGGGGTCTTCCTTCCCGAAAATATAGTTTTCCCACCACGATTTAAAGGAACCAGCACTCTCGCACTCGTCAGCACTGAGAACACCTGGCTTTCTCCTATCTGAGTGGTCTAACTTGTGGCAGGGAACACAGGCGAACCCAGGGGAGCTGCCGAATATTCCCACTGGAAATTCACCAAATGCGTTTTCATAAATTTCTCGAATCTTTTCCTTCCCCTTCTCGACTTGCTTGAACGCCTCGTTGATGCGTTTGTTCATGTAACGATATCCCTGGGGCTTTTTGATCTCCAGGATCTTCACCCCTGCATATCTGTGGATGACGACGACGTCAGACTCCATGTTGTTGCTGAGGGTTTTCGTGTTCATCACCACGAACATGGGCTGCGGATCGGCGAGAGAAAATTCCAGGATTTTCTTCATCACGAGCAGTTCCGCTTCGTCGCCGTCCTTTTCCTTTTCCCGCATCACGACGGGGAAGAGAACGCGACAGCCACTCTCCCAATCGGGGAATTCCTTTTTCAGGAATTCTTTGGCTCCGTCGATCGTTTCCTTGAGATGCCCTGCGGTCAGGTGAATAATTTTTTCGAGGAACTCGGGCATGCTGTCTCGCAGCTTTGCCTCGGGCTCGTCGTCTAATTCCATGGCTTCGGTTTCCTGCATGGGGTCTGCCATCGCTATCAAAGAAGACAGAAAGCAAATTTTTTAAAATGAAGATGTGGACACGGCAAAGAAAACGTGACTTGGCATTCAGTTGCCAGTTCGTGACCCCAAATGGAGTTGGGTTGGGTTGGAAAGTTCTGCTCTACGGTATTCCAAGGTCGGATGGTTAGGATGCGGGGAAAAAGATGATTTCGGTAGTATCTGCTCCATTGGAATCACAGATCGGTGCCAGGGCTGGTACTCTCTAGTGCTTTCGAATTTTTGTGGCGAGTCGGGATCACACGCTTCGCCAATCGTCATCAACTTTATTGCCACAGGGATCTCCATCTCCTCTAATTTTTCCCAATTTCTACTCATTCGCCCTCCGAAGAGTAAGAGTAAACGTGAATTTTCGCACCGAACTTGTGACAAATGTATGGAGAAATTTTGTTATGTAGGGGGGGGGGGGGCACAAATCCCATTGCACTCAATTAAAATTTAGTCAACAATAATAACTTAAACATTTCTTAAACAGAAAAATGATTAAATATTAGTCTAGTGGATCTGCGTGTCCTACGGCACATTCTTTTAACCATCTCATCAACTGCCCATTCGGCACAACAACGTTGTGTCGACGTTGAAAAAAGGTTG